CTCATCCTTTCCAACACACATGTCTCCAGGTATGGTCTTTTTCCTTTTTCTTTCTCTTTCTCTTTTGTTATGTTTAAATGAACTCATATCCTTTCCAACACACATGTCTCCAGGGTGTCCATCTCAACAGGTTATGAGGCCCCTTTGTGCTTAATTGCTGTCCACTCTACTCGCTCAATCACTCCTCACTCGTTTTTTTTAACTGGACCGTATCGTGATTATCGCGCCTTGAACACTCTGGACGATTTCGGATCTCAGGATCTTCGCCGCTATGTCTAACCCTACAACCCAAACTAACGACGATGCCGATAACCTTAATCTTAAGGTGTCGGGCATCGTGCAACTTAAACCTCAAGGTGCGGACTCAAACTACCTCGATTGGAGTTTCGTGGTCCTTCTTCACCTGAAGTCCCTCAAACTAGCGTACGTCCTTGAGCCCAAGGCTTCTCCTACCAGCACTGAGGCGAAATTGACGACTCCGCTTCCTTCTTCTCGAGTCAACAACAGTATTGCCGTCTCGTCGTTCATCGCTAGGACCATTCATCCTAGTAATCTTAGGTTCATCAGAGCTCACGGCGCTGATGCTGCAGCAATGTGGGCATCGCTATCGCAGGCACACCAAGACTTCTCTTCAGGAGGTCGCATGCACTGGCTGCGACAACTCGTCGTTGCTCGACTCACCTGTGACAACATTGATTCGCACATCGAATCGATGGCAGTTTGCGCAGAGCGCCTCGGGTCGCTGGTCACACCTGAGAAACCCCTCACGGTTGACGACATTCACGCCACCGCCCTCCTTACTTCGCTTATGGATGATTGGCTTCTGTGTGTATCCTTGCTGATGAATGAGGATTCTGTAACTTCATCGCGGATCGTCTCGGCCCTCAAGGCCGAGTCTCTTCGTCGTAAGGCTCGTCGCGAGGACGACACTACCGTCTCCGTCTCCAAGGCTCGTGCCGACTACGCTAAAGGCAAGCCTTGCTTCAATGAAGCACTCCACTGCTCCTTTTGCAACCGATCCGGCCACGACCTTGCTATCTGCAAGAACGCCGCACGGGTGCTCCCTGAGCATAAGTCCGGCCACTCATCAGGTAACACAGGAGGTCATTGTCATCCCGATTCTGCTCGAGACAACAGACGACATGCGCCCAACAATCGCTCGTCCAATCGTGCTGCTTCCACTTCTAAGCCCCCTGTGACTGCAGGTCAAGCCACCATGGTGGAGCTGGGTTATGAATCCTACGACGAGGAGTCAGACTTCTCGGTTCCCGAGCGCGCTGGAAATGCCGCTGTTGGCACCTATCCTGTGGAGTCTCCCAGCAATGTTGATGCCAACATTGACTCAGGATGCTCCATCTCAATGACTCCTCACGAGTCCACTGTCGACCGTCTCAGGCCCGACTCTACCTCTGTCCGCCTGGCCGATCGGTCTGAAGTCTTTTCCACTTTTCGCGGCTCTCAGTCACTTCCGCTCTCTGTTGACAAACATGTCCCCACCCTCGTCGTTCCAGGCCTCCACAAGCCTTTACTATCTGTGGCTGGTTTGTGCAACAAGAACCTTGTGGCCGTTTTCACCGCCGATTCATGCAACTTCTACGAAGCTGACTCTTTCTCTGCCACCGGTCCAATTGTCGGCTGCGGCTACCGTAAGGGTAACATTTTCTACCTTCCCTCCAACGAAGTAAGATCCTCATCCGCCATTTCAATTCCGTCATCACTCCA